CCAACTCAAAAAAAAAAAAAAAATGGTATTTTTCTCTGAAAGATGAGATTGTGGGTAATATTTATTCCTAAACTTTTGTATAATTTGCAAATTTTCTACAGTGAACATCCTTTTTTACTTTTTTTCACCAGGTTGAGTTTTAAAGGAAATTATAAAAAGCAATGTTTTTGTTTTTGAGTTGGAGTCTCCCTCTGTCACCCAGACTGGAGTGCAGTGACTGCTCCCAGCCACCGCAGCCTCCACCTGCTGGGCTCCAGCGATCCTTCCACCTCAGCCTTCCAAAGGCACAGGATTACAGGCTGAGCCACCGAGCCCAGCCAAAAGCAATGTTTTTTGTTAAAAATAAAAAGTACCAACATTACAGACATGAGATTCTCCTTCTCAGAGGCAGTTTGGGGACAAGGGAGAGGTAAAACTTACTTTTCACTGAATGCCTTTTGATCTTGAAATTCTTTGCTCATGTTTTGTATTACCTAGTCAGAAGGGGATTCCTCTTTATCCCAGTGCTCAGAGAATCTCATTAACAGTTGGGGTGCTTTTTAGCCAGGCACAGTGGCTCATGCCTGTAATCCCAGCACTTTCGGAGGTGGAGGCAAGAAGGTTGCTTGAGCCCAGGGGTTCAGAGCCAGCTTGGGTAACTTGGTGAGACCTCAGCACTACAATAAATAAAAAAATTATGCCGGGCTCGGTGGCTCAGCCTGTAATCCAGCGCCTTGGGAGGCTGAGGTGAGTGGATTGCCTGAGCTCGTGGGTTCGAGACCTGCCTGGGCAACTTGGCGAGACCTCATCTCTACAATAAATCAAAAAATCAGCCGGGCATGGTAGCACGTGCCTGTAATTCCGGCTACTCGGAAGACTGAGGCGGAAGGATCGCCAGAGCCCAGCAGGTGGAGGCTGCGGTGGCCAGGAGAGGCCACTGCACTCCAGTCTGGGTGACAGAGTGAGACTCCAACTCAAAAAAAAAAAAATTCTGAATATAGTTCAGCATCCAAAAATATAGAGCTACCTTTTTATAAAAAATAGCTACATGGGATTCCATCATGTGGAAATAATACAGATTATTTAAGACATTTCCTCTGCTAATGGACAGTTGGGTTGTTCTAATTGTTTTGATATAATAAACAAGAATGTACCATGCAACTTTGTCCATATTTCTTTTGTATTTGCACAAGCTTTTCTTTTTCATTTTCTTTTTCTTTTTTGAGTCAGAGTCTCATTCTGTCGCCCAGACTGGAGTGCAGTGGCACACTCATGGCCACCAACAGCCTCGACCTGCTGGGCTCAGGCGATCCTTCTGCCTCAGCCTTCCAAGTAGCTGGAACCACAGGCGCACACCACCATGCTCAGCTAGTTTTTTGATTTTGTGGAGTTGAGGTCTCTCCAAGTTGCCCAGGGTGGTCTTGAACCCTGGGCTCAGGCAATTCTCTTGCCTTAACCTCCCAAGTGCTGGGATTACAGGTATGAGCCACTGCACCCGGCTGGGTTATGATTATTGGCATTATCATCATTCCCCCAGCTTTGAATCCTTTGTTCTAGAACCTGGTACCTTTTACCCAGTTGCATTTGTTTGTGTTTTGATTCCATACATTCATATATTGTGTGCTGCTTTGTGCTTACTTTTGTATTAAGGGCTGGTTATATAAAGTTGAATAAGACACCCGTCTTGCCACCAGAGAATTCATAGTCAATAGGCGGGAGACATACAGATGAACAGATAATTATAAAATAATGCAGTCAGTGGACAAAGATAGTGAAGAGTATTATGGGGAATGGTCAGGGAACGCTTCCCAAAGGAGTGGTTGTCCAACAAGGAACTATTTTGAGGGTCACAGGTTAGAGAACAACAGGTACTGGAACCACAAGCAATTCCATGTGATTGAACTGTGTAGGATCAGGCAGGACCAGGGGGAAGAGGAGGGAGAAGCCTGTGTGGGTTAAATTGGGGAACTTGAACTTTATCCTGCAGAACAAATGAGTTTCTGAAGGATTTTAGCAAAGGTCCAATTTACCAAAGTCAGATTTACATTTTACACAGCTCACTGAGATGGAGTGGGGACAGATTAACAGCAGTGGTTCTAGGGGCACAGATGGACAGATAAGTATTTGGGAGATATGGTTGTATTTGTGTGGTGGGAATGCAGCAGCAAAGGAGAGGAAGAATCACAGCACATGTCTAACAAATATCTGTTGAAAGGATGGTTCTTGGCATCTAACTTCAGTAGATAGTGCTATTATCTGAGAGTATGGAGAGAATAGTTTTGGGGAATATTTGAGGCATATTTGAGACCTGAAGGGTAAGTGTTTCAAGGAGGGGCTGGGAAGGACTGGAGATTTGTCAGGTGGCAGTCGAAATCTTGTGAGTAGGTGAGACTCTGAATAGATGAGACTCTGCAGGGTGAGTAATTGGATATGTAAAAAGCTAGGACCCGCCCTCAAGGTGCCAGCACCAGGTGCTGTCTAGGAGAAGTTGCCCTCGCCAGGTGGCCAACGGCGGGTTCATGGCGGTAGGGGGCGCACGGGGACTGGGGGAGGTGGGGCCAAAGACTGCTGGAGCTCCCACATCCCCGGGGTGCCTTATTTTTTCCACCCTAGAGACAGGACTCACCTTGCTGCCCAAGCTGGTTTCAAACTCATGGCCCCAAGCGATCCTCCCGCGTCGGGCTCCCAAAATGTTGGGATTATAGGCGTGAGCCACGACTCCCGGCAGCCCCAGGGTGTTAAGCAGCGCCCCGAGCGTGCCAGGGAGCAAGCTGCAACTGGGGGAGACTGAGGGTTTTCCGAGATCGAGCCAGTGCCTCTGATCTGGGAGACGCAGCCGGGCCGCTGAACCTTCAGAGCCTGGGCTTCAGCCCCCTGCCCTGGCAATTCCTTGGGGCAGGTCCTGCTCGGCTCATCAGTGAGCCCGGAGCCCTCTCGATCCCTTGCGCCCTCCCAGAAGGCAGACTTGTGCTAGCAGTTTGACGTTTCCACTGGCGACACCCAGCAGAGAGGACGCTTGCCTGAAAGAACCTGAACAGGGTAGAAGGGGTGGGGATGGCTCGGGGCAGGGGGTAGTAGGTGACCAACACCGGCAGAAAGCACCAAGATGACAGGTCTGGGCTGGGGTCATCTTGGTGCTTTCTGCCGGGAGGTCCCGGGCAGGCCAAGGTGAGCGGGAACGAGGGTGGAGAGATCAGAATCTGGATGAGGGTCCAGAGAAGACACTAGTCTAGGTCGGGAAAGACAAGTCCCAAACTCCCACTTCGGAAATCTCCAAGGTACACAACTTCCAGGGACCAGGCAGACGGCACCCGGGAGAGGGGAAGGCGTTGGTGAATCAGGATCCCGAGGAAAAGGCACACTCTGCCTGGACAGGAGTCGGGATCCGAGATCGGCAGACAGAGCCCGGATGGGGCCACGGGAGCAGGAGACTGAGACCACCAGATCACAAAGCTGCGGGGATGGCAGCGCTGCGTGGGGAGAAGGCAATACGGGCTTTGAGAGTGGCAAGGCCGGTGCGGAGCCAGAGCATCTGGGCGTGGTGCCCAAGGCGGAGGGGAACCTGGGGACTACCAAGTGGACAGCAGGAGAGCCGCGCTGGGAGAGCCTCGCCGGGTGCGCTGGTGGGACCCGCGTGCATCTGGGGAAACCCGGGGGTCGCTGGAACGCGAAGCCGACCAGCCCAGGGTCAGGGCTTCGGGATGGGACTCTGGAGGGGCAATGGGGCAATGTCCCCGGAGGCTCCCGGCCGGCAGTGACTCCAGTTTAAGGCGGCAGAACCGAGGCACAGCCCGCAGCTGCTCCCGGGGCCCCCCCCCGTCTCTCTTGTTTGTCTCCAAGTCCGGCCGGAACCGGCTTCTGCTCGCGGCGGGGCGGGCGGGTGGCTGGCTGCTGATTGGTCAACGCCTGTTTCCAGCCCCCACTCAGCCAATCAGCGGGCGGCAGTGTTTTCATCTTGGGGTCGGAATAAAAGGGCTGGAATAAAAGGGGGCAGAAAAGGCGCCGGGCGGGCCCGACACACACCAGTGGGAGCCGGGTGAGCTGCACCCCGGGGATCGGAGCCAGGGCGGGGTAGGGGGCAGAAGCTGCTCACGGGAGCGTCGGGTGAAAAATGTGTAAATAAGAGAGGAAAGAGACTGGGCGGATGAGGAGCCGCCACGGGAGAGAAGACGAGGGGAGAAGGGAGCCGAGGGATGGAGGAACGGGGGTCCGAATCCGTGGACACGGGCTAGCTGCCGAGGTAGCGGCCTGGGACTGGGGTCTCGCGGCCGGCTCGCGCCGCCGGTTTGAACCGGCTTCTCTTCTCCCATGCCGGGTTCGCGTGGCCGCAGCGCCTAGCGACCTAGACACTGGCCAATTGCGCGGCAGTTCCTGTGCCGTCAGGCCAATGAGCGGGCCGTGGGCGGGCCGTTCCGGAGCTCGATGCGCTGATCTTGAGGTTGCAGGAACCAGCCCTGGGGAAGGGTCCTGAGTGCGGGCGGGAGGGCGCCTGTCAGAGTCCCTGGGAGTGGCAGCCCGCAGGTATGCCCCTGCCCAGGTGGCTGGACCTCAGGCTGCTTCCCCTTCCAGGCCCCAGCCTGTGTCTATCTGCTGGAAGCCAAGACTAGTTCCACGTCCCTGAGCATGCGTTAGTCCTTTCCTGCTTCCATGCCTCAGTTTACCTCGGAGTGAGCTGAGAGAGGCGTCTCCCTGCCTAGCCGAGGCGGCTCCATCGTAGCAGAGGGCAGTGGTACGAGCCAGCCGCGGGTTCGGGGGTGGCCCAGGTCCCGGGCAGGGCTGGGGCTTGCTTGCTTCGCCGCGCGCACCCACGGCCGGGGCCGCGGAGGACTGACAAGCTCCGTGCCCTGCGGTGGCGGCCAGGGGCGGCCGCACGGGCTGAGCGGGGCCGGTCGCTAACGCCGAGGTCCGTGCGCAGGTGGCTGCAGAGGCTGCCGGAGTCGGGCCGCCGTTCCGCGCTGCACCATGGCGCCCACCTTGGCCACTGCCCATCGGCGCCGCTGGTGGATGGCCTGCACCGCCGTGTTGGAAAACCTCCTCTTCTCGGCAGTCCTCCTGGGCTGGGGCTCGCTGCTCATCATGCTCAAGTCGGAGGGCTTTTACTCCTACCTGTGTACTGAGCCAGGTGAGACAGGCGCCTCGGGCTGCGGGTGGCTCCTGGAGTCGGGGTTTTGGGAGAGGACGGGATGGGGTGAAGACCTAGCAAGCAACACCACCTCGCTGCACAGCGCCTTCAGGTATCAGAGGCCTATTTGATCCTCACCCAGCTCTTCTGGGTACTTGTCATTGTCGCTGGTTTGTGGATGAAGAAACTGAGGCTCGAGCCTCTGTCTTGCGAAAGGCCACGCAACCGGGGAGTGATTGACCCAGAACCCCACCCGATGTCCAGGGTGTTCTTTCCACCACCTAGGAACATTGCTGGACTCCTCTCCTCTCTTCCCAGTGTCTGGAACATAGCTTGCCTTGCAGTAAACATGTTTCCCACTGATTGTAAGAAAGAGGAACTCCGGATTTAGGGGCTGGGGTGTAGCAAGAGAGAGGAAGTGGCTTTGCCTCCACCCCAAGGAGGTTTCATCTAGAATCTAGATGTTTCTTAAGCCATTATGGAGTCTCCTAAGGGCTTGTCGGGTGCAATTTCCTGTCTATTTTTGCTGCTTTATGATTCTCCAAAAGACATTTCCTCCCATGGGCTGTGAGAACATCTCAGTGGCCTTCTATCCCATGGGGAGGAAGGGGAAGGGGAGAAGGGGGCATTTATGGAAATGATTCTAGGTTTGTTCCCTTCTCTTTGCCACACCATTGGTGTTGCTAAAGGCAGGCTGAGGATGCTTGTCTACATTAAATCTGCACCGTACTCCCTAACTCCTACCTTCACACCTCCCCCTCCCCTTTGAGGATCCTAACTGTTGCAGGCTGCTGGGTTCAGCCTAGTAATAGGACCAAAGTGACTCCCAATCTCTACCCTCCTCTCTACCTGCTTCTTAGGGGAACTTGATAGGAAATGTTTCCCTCTGCCCTCTCCCTGACCCCAACAGTAGCTGCGTAATAGTTGAACTCACACAATCTCTCTCCCCAGTGCTAGAGTCCCCTTAGATGGCCATAGCCCAGGTTTGACTCCCTGAATCACCACCAGCTTACATTTTCTTTCTAGAGTTCTTACTTTGCAGGAAGAAAAAGCTTTGGACCTGCTTGTGCAGTCTGAGACCCTGTGTAGAAGCTTCCCTGCTTCCCTTCTCTAATCTGCCCAGGAGATTCCTGAGTGTCCCAGTCTCTAGGGAGGCTTACTTAGCTGGAGAGGGTAAGGGCAGGAGAAAGGGAGGGAATGTGGAGGCTGCCTGGGAGAGGGCAGAAAGTCTATCATTTGTAACTAACCTTTAGCCTTTAGCCACTCAGAAACATTTCCTAATAACCTAAGGGTTCTTGGAAGATCTTTCCCCCACATCAGCAAGAAATCTTAGGAGATAGGAAGAGTCAGACCTTGTTCCCTGAACAAGCTTTCTGCTTTGCCTAAGAGATGTTAGGAGTTTAGTGACTCTTCTGAAAGGAACAGGTTGGAGTGCTTCCTTTCCTTCCCTCTCTCCTTCCTTTTAGCATGACCCTTCCTGCTTGCCTCCCTGGTGGGGTCTTTCAGGCTGCACAGAGAGTTTGAAAAACAAAAACATTTATCACTCCCAGACAAAACTCAGTATTTCTTCTAGACCAGAGGACTATTGTGGTCAGAACCTTTTTTTTTTTTGACCTACAGTAGTGTCAGGAAGGTCATAGTATAGGAATTTTTTTCCCCACAGATTGTCCACTGATTTAATTTATTGTACACTATTGACAGCACTAGGGATGGTCACTTCATTTCTGCCTCAGTCTTGACCTCTTCCTCTGTTGAAGTGGGAGGAGTCCTAGAGGCTGTGCCAACATGGTGCTGAGTTGGTTTTTAAGCCCTTGGGAGGTTTGACAGGTCGCTCTCTAAACCAAAGTGAAGGTGAAGGGTCACAATATTAAGTTGAACATCAACTTCTTATCCCGTGCCTTTGCTCCTGCATCTGATTTTGGTTTTTCTGATTATCTGGCAAACCCGCTGACTTAGCATCCTGGGCGGGAAAGCCTGCTGATTCCACACAGCTTATCTGACTGGCCTCTCTTCTCCTTGCTTCTTGGAGTGCATATAACTTGTCTTTTGGGGCCAGAAATCCCTGTGCTTCTCCTGAATGGGAGTTGCTGGCAAAGTTAGGGTCAAGGTTTCTGCTTAGGCCTAACATTTTCAAGCTTGGTGGATGGCTGAACTGCAGAGAAACAGGCCATTTGTTGAATTTATTGAATTAGTCTGGTAAAAAGCTGAGCAGTCCACAGCTGATTGAGATGCAAATTTGTCAGCTTTCTGTTGCTCTCAGGACTGATGCTCTAGTTTGTTCTGTAACAAAAATATGCTGAACCTGTTGAAAGTTTCTTAGGACTCTTACTTGGGATGCCAGCCAGAATCTGGCTACAGACACAGTGTTGGTTTCAGCTTGGTGAGGTGGGACCAGAAAGAAAACAGCCCATTTCTTTGATGCCCCTTGGCTGTTTGGCCATGCCCACTGGGAGAAGTGATGGGCTGGGACTGGAAAGATGACTTCAGACACTTGACAGACTCTGCGTGATGTCCACCAGGTGCTGGCTGCTGGATGCCTCCCGAGTCCCTGCTGAGAACAGGAGACCAACTGGGTTTCCAGCCTGGGAAGAGCGGGGCTTTCCCCGGGCTGTGTCCTTCTGGCCTCCAGGATGGCCACTGTAACACCTGCGCCTGACCTCTTTCTTCATTTTCTCTGTCTTGCAGTGGCTCACTTCAACAAAGTCAGCTCAGGGGATGCAGGGTATCTGTGGGTGCTTAATTTTCACTTTTATCTAACCAACACATTCAGTAAACATTGATTGAGGCGTTGTACTGGGGATGCAGAGCAAACAAGTCATCATGCACAGACCTGTATGATTCCAGGTGGCCATCGGGACTCCACAGAGATCAGGGTGCCAGGAGCCAGAACAACAATGGGGATCTGGTTGTATTGGACAGGAGGGCCCCTCTGGAGGATGAGGAGGGGAGAGTCAGGAGAGGAGATGCACCGTGGAGGAGAAAAGGGGCTGGCTCAGCAGGAGATACCTGGAGAGGTGGGAAGGGGCCAGGGCCTGGGGTTTCATTTGGGGGAACTAGATTTTATTCTGAAGGCAGGAAGAAGCCATGGAGGAAGAGGAGGGCAATGACCCAATCATCTGTTAGAGACATCTATGAATTGTTAAGAGCGTACCACAAGCTGGGGGGTTGGGTGAGTTGGGGGCTATGAAGGTAGAAGTTGGCATGGCCTCTGCTCAAGGAAGTCACAATGTAGCCATGGACATAAGGCAGACCCCAAATCTGCAGTCACTCTGTCTGTGGTGGCAGGAAGCATACTTCTCAACTTGGCTCAAAGTGGGAAGCTGACCCCCAGGTTCCTGAGAAGGTAGAGGGGCTGCTGTCCCCAGAGGAGGCATGACTAGGCCTAGTCTCCACCAGCATGAGTGAAGCTACAGGTGGACAGGAAGGTTTCTTGCTGCTACAAGGACCTCCCTTTTTTTTTTTTTTTTTTTTTTTTTTGTTGGAGTCTCACTCTGTCACCCAAGTTGGATTGCAATGGCACGCTCCCGGCCACCACGGCCTCGACCTGCTGGGCTCATGCGATCTTTCCACCTCATCCCTCCCAGTATCGGGAACTCATTCTGCTTGCCCCCTCACCTGCTAAGTTATGGTCCTTTTATGAAAAATAAATGTCACATGATTTTGATATTGATTGAGTACTTTTGGTGGACTCATCTGGAATTCCCACTAGATTAATACTCTTCTGTTTTGATGTTTTGTCATTTCAATACGTACAAGTAATGGTTCTATACTGGTGTGCCGACTCACCATTGTTCTGCTATATGAGGAGTTAAGCATCC